TGTGTGTGTGTGTGCATGTGTGCATGTGTATGTATATGGGGGTGTGCAGGTGTATGAACATGTGAAAGCTGGAGAACAAGTTGAGAAAGTTCAGTTCAGTGTCATCCTTAGGAGTGCACTCTCACCTCCTTTGAGACAAGATCCCTCATTGTTCTGGAGATTACCAGTTAGGCCAGACTAGCTGACCAGCAAGTTCCAGAGACCCCCCCGTCTCCTTCTCCCCAGTGCTGGGATGACAAGAACACCACCATACCATCTTGAGTTCTGGGGATCCAACCCAGATCCTCATGCTTACAAGGCAAGCATTTTACTAACTGGGCCATCCCCTCAGGCCCGTGTTACAATGTCTGTTTCCATTCACCCATCAGTATACAGTCACATTGTTTCCACACCTTGGTTATTGTAACAACCTTCAGTACATGGCAATGAAGAAAGCCCTTTGTAGCCATGTGCTAGTTCCATGCCTTTAGAAGAAAGCCTGGAAGAAATAGAAAGATTTGGTTCTGTGAGTTACGTCCTATAATGATTTAATTCTAGTAGTGGGGTGTTTGTTGCTCATTTCCTGGTCATAAAGATGCACGCGTTTTGGTATTTTAAAAATCCCCTGTAGAAGACTCATTGCTCATAAGACGTGGCTCTCAGGGCAGGTGACCCTACAGAAAGCTTTCTCAACTGAGTCTCCGTGGCTTCAATGCCTTACTATGTACAAGATGCTCTTCCCACTTAGGGCCTCTTTGCCTGTTTATACCTGGTACCTAGAGTATGGACCTCTGAGGATCCCATTTCCCATTCGACATTTGGCTTTCTTGATGAAAGCACTCTCCAGGTGGATGGAGGGAGAGCTGGCAATTTCCAGGCATCAGCAGCTCTAGGAAACAGATTTGCTAAGAAGGTTGGGTCTGCTGGGTATTTGCCAAAACAATTCAACTGGGTTTATAATATGGAAAGTAGCAAGTCAAGGACATATATGTTAATCATTTTTTGAATAAAGTTATTCAAAGATGTGAAAGAAGATAATGACTATTTTACCCAACCCCCAGGAAAACAGCTATAAAAACAAGGCTCACTCAACTCAGTTCCCAAATCAATGATTGCATTCCAACTTTTTCATAAGATGTATTATTATGAATTTTATTAATTTATGCTCCTGGTAGAGGCTAATCTTTTTAGATCTAACAGTTGGGTACTTACACACACACACACACACACACACACACACACACATACACACACACACACACACACACGATTGTAGTAACTTGTTCCTCCATAAGGATGAACTTGTGAAGTATTGTAAGAAGTATTTTCATTCCCAAGATGTCTACTCTTCAGACATGTCCTGTTGGTCTATCCCATTCTATCTAATTCATTCTGTCACTCTCTAACAAACACTGGAACACCTGGGAACAGCGAGGCCGGCTACTGTCAGAAGTCAGGCCTGCCAATTAGATAACACCAAACCCCAGCTCCTGCACACCAGACAGGGTTGGAAGGAAACAGAAAAAACTCAGCACTCTATCACAGGTGTACACCCTATGCTATTTCCATGATACATATATTACACATACCAGGAATGTTTGTCCAGCAGGGACTATAAAACCAACTGAAACTGTCTTATCTTACATCAAGTCATGCTAGCCTACTGAAGTAAAACACAGAAAATATTTCTCCTATGTCCTGATTTAGAAAATGCTGATAAAATATAATCAAAGGAGATAAACAGTATGTGTCACGAAACTCCCAGGTAAGAGGTCCAGTTGTGAGAGACTTGTATAAAAAAAAAAAGTGGAAGGAAGGGGGGAAAGTGAGGAAAGGACTAGCCTTGATGAGTATAAACTTCTCTCAGTAGTGAGCCCCAAGATGGTCTGACATTGACGTACCTCTAAACCAGTGCTTGGCTCAGGAGTGCAATGTACTGCCTTTCCACACAATTTTGATGGCCTTGGAATTGCCTATTAAGAGGGTCAGCCACCTAGGGTAAAGAGGCCTCTCCCCAATCCACAGGACCACATGGCCATCTCCCTGTCCTTTCCCTGCCCCCTGCCTGACCATACCTAAGGAGATTTACCTTGGAAGTGGGGGCAGAGTGGAGCCTGGCAGCTTGTATTGTGAATCCAACGCATCATGAAATATGGAGACCACTAGCCCTCAGCACTCCAGCAACGTCTCTCCACATGTGTCTCAAAGAAATCCAGGACACACCCCAAAGAAAGCATAAAGTCCAATAGTAGCAACTCCAAACTCTCATTGTAAATAAGCCACTTTAAAATAGTGTGTTGCTCTTCCAACAGTCCTACCTGTTGAAGCCACTGTCTGTTCACCAAGGCTAAAGCAGTAAACTTGGGCCCCTGTTCCATGTTGATGGAGTACTAGCCAAGCCCTACAGGATCAGTTGCTCACTTGTAGGACCAGCTGGTTGGGGCCCTGTCCAGGAAGCCAGGTGTGGACTGGTACTTCAGCACCAAAGGTCATTACCATGAATTTCTATTTCAAACTTTTCAGCCTGTGAAACTGTAAGAGATACTAAGATCTAAGATACTAGGGCAGAGGGAACCAGGCAAAAAGGGGGAAAGGGACTAATATTTACCTCCATTATCACAATGAGATTACTCTGCCCTCTGGTACAGACACCGTGATTGCTCAAGTGTTTAACTTATTTTTTTTAATTGCAAATGCCGGCACAAACCAGTTTTGCAAACGCACTTGCATTACAACTGCTCTGCCATTTGAAAACTGATCGAGAGACGCCAAGTTCTCAGCTGGTGAGGAGAACGGAGTTCATGAAACTATTAGGCTTCTCTAAATGAGCCTAATAACACTTAGCACTTCAAAGCACATGAAGCCATTAACTAATTAATCCCCACCATTCCCCTTCAGGTACATAAACAGCTATTTTACAGTTGGGTTGTAGAGGCATCTGCTGGCCCCAGATGAAGTCAGGATTCACAGTGAGGGCAGGGGCAGATGTGTCTACCCCACACTTGCTGTGTATTCACCCTATCCCAGATATTACTTCCTTCCAGAGCTTAGTGGAAAGGTTTCATTTTTGGATTTCAGAGATTTTGAATCTTTTCCTTCTGTATCATTCTTTCCGGCAAATATACAAAAGACCAAAGGGGTTCACTCTGATTAAAGTTGTAACAAATTGGAAAGCTGGAGAGGCTGAGCCATTAAATGCCAAGAAGAGAGGTTTGTGTGACTGAGTAATCCGTTTCATATGAACTCCGCATTTATTATAGAATGATTTCCAAACTGCTGTGTGCAGGCAGATTTCATAGCACATGCATACTGTGCTCTAACAAAAGACACGTGCTTATCCTTCCCCTGAATGGCGAACCTTCCCAATGCCCTGGTCCACAGAGTGAACAAGTGGTGAGGCGCTCCGAAAAGAACGTTGTAGCTGCCCTTGGGCAACACGTTCTGCCAAATGAACAGCTATAGTAAATCTAGAAGAAGAATAGGTAAGACTGTTCCAAATCTATAAACCCTTTTCATGGCCTTGCTACATCTTCAGTGCTGACCGATGGATGTTTCTAAAGCCTCGAGAGGGGATAGCACTCCTTTTAAAGGGGATACTTGTCAGGAGGTGAGGTTATACTTGTCTAGAGGTTCTGTTTCAATCTGCTAAGGTGGCAGGTAAGAGACCTGGAGTCAGAGAGGAAGCAGTGGAAACAAGTTTGGAGTACTACGTCTCCTTGTTGCTAGCCACTGCCGGACAAGTGGAGGACAGCATGGTGTGTGCCTCTCAGCCCTCGAGCTCTGCACATGGCCATCAGAGAAAGGGGAACAGAGATCAACACCAGGCTTCCTGGTACTCAGGGAAACCCTCCTCCAGTAGTACAGACTGGCTTTGCAATTCCTCCTTTTCTATTTACATTTGTGAATTTTTTTTAACTGTGTTTCATTTTAGGCTAAGTTATGATGCAGTCCCAAAACTCTGAGTAAACCACTGCAAAATGGATGGTATATTCTCATGGGAACAATGATAAAAATCAGGGGATTTTTCCTAATCAAGAACATAGCTTCAAGCTGGTCATATATAAGAGCAACAGTCATAAAGGCCAAGATTAAACAACCACAAACCTTAATGACCTCATCTGTAAGGAGGTGTAATAGAGGGGCCTCTAGGGTCAAACGGAAGGATTAGTGGAGACTATTTTGTGGGAGTGTCGCAGTGCCTTACGTTTAGTAAGCACTCATAACTTTTGTTAAAAGTAAGCTACAGACAAGCTCTCTTTATAGCCTGATGCCTCATAATCAGAAAAATATCAAAAGATGGGAGCAGTTATGATTATACTTAAAATAAGAAAATAGAGGGTCTGTGGAGATGGTTCAGTGGTTAAGAGCACTTGGTGCTCTTACAGAGGACCTGAGTTTGGTTCCCAGTACCCAGATCAGTTAGTTGGCTTGCTATTGCCTGTAGCTCCAGCTCCAGGGGAATCCCACAGACTTTTCTGGCTCCCATGGGTACCTGCACTCACTTGTACACACAAGTACATAATTAACAAATAAAAACAAATCTAAAAAAGAGAGAAAAAATGGAGACCCAGAGGTGCAAAAGCAAACTGTTGGAGGCTAAATAAATAATAAGCAACCAACCAAGCTTGCATCTGCACCTAAATACTTTGAGTTTGAGTTGATGCCTAACCCTACCCTACAACTATAGTGCCACATAAGAAGCAATGTCAGTATTACCATTTATTTCATTTAAACAGATGAGTGACACGCCACGTGATATCTAGTGCAGTATGCACACATCAGGGAAGGCTTCACTTTGCTTTAAAGCAAGTAAACCCCATAAAAAAGCAAGCCATGAAATCAAGATCATAAAATCAACCCTAAACTAGTCCTCAAGAGGAATATGTAATTTATAGACATTTTATTCAACATAACCCATGACATCAGGAAACACAATCCAAAGAATCTTGAGCCTTTTTTTTCCTGAATATATATATATTTTGTTGAACAAAAATGTGTTGTGTGGGGTTGACGTCTCTTACCTGCTGTTGTAGTTAAGAAGGATATAATCAGGCAGCTTCCTGCTCCTGCTGCCTGCTGCCATGCCTTCCCCACCATTGTGAACTCTTCCTCTGCAACCATAAGCCCAAATAAACTCATCCTTCTATATAAGTTGACTTTGATCATGACGTTTTAGCATAGAAACAAAAAGAGTAGCTAACACAGCCACCTTGCTGTCAGGAGTTGTTAGTCCAGAGTGTAGCAGCCATGCCTCAGCAGGAGATCACTCTGCTAGAGGACAAGGGTCCTTAGCCAGCGTGCTCGCTGATGTAGCTGCTTTCCACAGTGATGACTAGAAGCAGGATCCTCAGAACTTAGTGCCCACTTCACTCAGGATGCTTCAAGTCTCAGTTGGCCCCCACATTCCCAGGAGGTCATCTGGCCCCTAGCAACTTCCATCCCTGGCAGCATGTTTTTCCTGCAAACTCAGGCCTGTATGAAGAAGGAACTTTGACAACTTTTTCTCAGTGCTAGTGGTATTGGAAGGACATCTGCAGATCTCTGGAATCAGAGATCTTTCCAAAAAAAAAAAATTTTTTTTGAGACACCATCTCCCTGTAGTCCCAGCTGTCCTAGAGCTCATTATGGAGACCAGGCCTGCCTCTATCTAACAGAGGTCTGCCTGCCATTGCCTCCTGAGTTCTGGGATTAAAGGTCTATGCTTTCACAATTGGCTGTGAAAAACATATTGAAAGGCAGAATGACAACTTTTCTGACCTTCAGCCTCTCTTTTCTCCGAAGTTTATTCAAGGATGGACTCAGGGTTACTTTTCCACCCAACTTCAGCTGCGGAGAACCTTCACACAGCACTGGAGAGTCATAGCAACAAGTTTCAGGTGACTCTGGAGGCTCACCCGATGTGGTAGACAGTTTAGTGGCTTTGTGAGGGCCGAGGCTGGAGGTATTTCAGTGTGTTAGGCAACTATAAAATTTCAAAATCCAAAACATGCAGAATGCCTATGGGAAGTTAAATTGTCACTGAAACAGCTCTGCATTCTACAGGAAGAGGCAGATCAGAAATCCAAGCACAAGTCTTTAAACCCATGTACCACCAGTTCCAAAGTACCTATGATTTATGGCTCCTTATGCCACAGAAGTAAACCAACTCTACAACCTCTTCCTCCTATCATGTCGTCTTTGCTCCCAAAAGCAAACATTCCAACATTACAGAAAGTGATTTTATAGATGACTTCTTCCGGAATCGCAGATAAATGTGAAAGTAGGATCAGCATTTCAGATGTCTTTCAGCAAAGCCCTAGGGCCAGCCCTCTTGGCCTCGCTCCTGATCCCCATAAGCACAGTGGCATGCATGCTGTCATGAGTGCGTAAACATATTCCTGTATTTCTCCATATAACTGGACACCCAAACTGCCCAGAATTCTTTAACAGGTGCTGTGTTCTCATGCAGACATTTAAAGACACATTAAAGGTCATCGTTCTAGTTCTAGACACTTTTGGTGAAAGGAAAGTAGGTTAAAACATCCATGTCCCCAAGGACTTTTTGCTACAGTGTCTGATCATTAAGATTGCTGCCACTGAGTTGACCGTGGTGGCAAATACCTTTAATCCCAGCACTTGGGAGGCAGAGGAGGTGGATCTCTGTGAGATCAAGGCCAGTCTGGTCTACATAGAGAGTTCCAGGCCAGCTGGGGCTACAGGGAGACCCTGTGTCAAAAAACCAAAACAAACAACAACAACAAAAAAGATTGCTGTGCTCCAGCAGTGGTGCCAAACATCATTTCTAATTCCCAGCCTTCTGTTTAAGTTGGACTAACAGCCCATTTACCAGATGAAGTTGGGCCTCAGAGAGGATATGGCAACAGCAGAAGGCACTCTCCCTCTCTCCCACTGTCATTCTCTTCCACCACAATGACCCCAAGCATCTCGCTCTTGGCGAAACCTCCCCAGCTCTTTTTCTCCGGAGCCTTCTATGTGTGCTCATGTGGCCAAGCGTTCTGCTGCTGTCCCTCGCGTTTGAACCCAGGTCCCTCTCTGAGCCTCCTGGTCCAGAGAACCTTTCAGAGCCTTGGTCTCCTCATCCTCAGCAGGAAATATTCCTTACATGGTCATTGCTTAGTTTTGTACATTTACCACTCCAATCCTCTGCTGTCTGCAGGGAGGCACCCCTGGAGGGGTGGAGATGGTTCAAGGTTGTATAAACACTGCAAACTTCTTCCCAGACTTGTTCTCATTTTATCATTTATCCTGATAAGCCCTTAAAATGCTACCTCATGCATCAGGATGGAACAGCCAAAGTAAACACAACAGTGTGGACATGTAAAGTGATACACAATAAAGATGATACCATGTAGCAGGAAAACAAAAGGTAGAACTGTTACTGTTTTACAAGCAAGTTCTGCCCTTTTGGCTGGGGAAGCCTTATCAGGTAACTGTTTACTTTGTCTTAAGCAATGTAGTTTTAGTCTGAATGCAAAATTTATTTACATACCTTTTCTGTCAAGTCATCGTTCAAGTTTAGTTCTCAAAATCAAGATTAATTCTGCTTTGCAAAACATGTCTAAAATCTTTTCGGTCCTAAGAGCCCTAATCTTTGTAGAGTGCACTTCCCCCAATCGGGGTGTCTCCTCTCCCCATGAATCACATGATAAGAAATAGAGCGAAATTGGACTGCGCGCTGAGGATGCGCCAGGCCCTCCTCCAAACACTTTACAAGTATGATCCTCTTTTATCCCAGATTAATGGCTTAAGGATTTAAGGGAATGTTACCATTCCCATTTTACAGGTGAGAGGATAAACCATGGGAAGCATAAGTCACCCAAGGTCACACATCTGTGATGTGGCATATGTTGGATTTGAACCCAGAAAGGTCAATCTGGAGCCCATGCTTTATTCTCTAAATTTCTTTCTTCATATAAGTAACACATTTCCCTGGTTCAAAATTGAAACAATCTAAAAAGACTTCCTATGATACTCTTGTTCCTTCTTTCCCTGTTTTCTCTTTTGCCCACGCCTGATCCCAACTCTGATGGGCAGAAGACAATTCTTATGCTTCTCACATACTCTGAGTCCTTCATGAAAATGAAAACACATGAAAATAAATGCTCTATGCTCCTCCCTCTCCAACACACTTTGCTTTTTGCTGTTAACAATGCAGACCGTTGTTTCTCTTGATTGCCTGCCTGAGCTTAAGGGTGAGACTCACCGAAGACACCACACACCTCAGACACAGGACTCGGAGAAATAGAGCTGGTACTGACCTGAAAGTCTCCCCCCTGAAGACCAGTTCTCATAGTGTTAAGAAGGCACTAAGTAAGCTGCCAGGAGAGAAAAGTAGTGAGCAGTCCTACTCAGCTGTAAATCCTGGGAACTTCAATAACAATCAGTCCAGCAAGACCTGCTCAATGGTGTAATAATAGCGCTAATACCTCAGGAGCAACCAACAGCTCTCTGATTGGACTTAAGGCCCATTCAGTAGGAGAAAACGTGTGCCTGCTACTGTAGACCTAGCCAAGAACCTGTGGCAGGAGAGGTCATAGGCCCTAGAGGAGAAACTATACAACCATTTTGCTAAATTTATATAGTGTTCATTTGCCTTCTAAATACTGATCCTTATACCCATAGATAACAGAAGTTCTCTACCCTCATCAAAGAAGCTTCTTTTACCAGCAAGCAGAGGTCATTACAGAGAACCACAACTCATTAAGGAGCAGAGAATAAGAGACTGTGTAGTGGCCATCCCCATGTGGAACATCTGTAACATCACCCTTATACCCAAAACTCAGGGATCATGGAAGAAAAGAGGATGGAAAGATTGTAAGAGCCAGAGGATTGCTGTAAACTGGGGCTTCTGGACATGTCAAGGATGTTGCACCCATGAACTCTCAACAATTTGGTTATAAGACCTGTACAAGACTACACCAGCCTGCAGCCCAGCATAGGTCGGGGAAGCGCTCACAGGGTACTACCCTGGCTCAAGACCTACAGGCAGTTGATGTCTTCTGAGGAAGGGAGAGTAACTTTTCTTCAGGGACCAGCCTTCTGATAGGTTGTTCATGCTCAAGTGATCAGCCCCATACCCGTATACATAAGGGTAATACTAATTGGATTTGTTATAATAATAATTATAGAAAACAAAGAATGAATTTGAGGGGGATGAGGCAGGATGATACAGGAGGAGCTGGAGGAGGGAGGGAGGGGTGAATGTGATGGAAATACATTGAACTCACAGATATGAAATTACAAAAAAATTAAAAAGGAAAAAAGGAAAGAAATCATAACGCATATTTGCGAGGCTGGGGGTATGGCTCAGCTGGTAAAGTGCTTGTCTACCACACTCAGAACCCTGGATTTGATCTCCATCACCACATAAACCAGGCATAGTGGCATACACCAATAATCCCAGCACTTGGGAAGTGCAGGCAGGAAGATCAGAAGTTCTAGGTTATTACATTCCACTACATAGTGAGGTCAAGGCAAGCCTGGGCTGCATGAGCCTCTGTTTTGAAAAAAAAAAAAAATAGAGCTCTTTCCAAGCCTATTCTTTCAGACATCTTCTGTTACATGTCTGTGTCATGATTTAAGCAGTTCCATGTTTACTGGAAAGCAAGTTGTTCCAGTTTGGGGCACTTTACACAGTGTTGTCATGGAAAATCTGGAAGTCCATCCTGTATGCAGCTGTATCCACTGGGTAAATCCCTAAGGGTGGGACTTGAAGGTCAGGAGGTAAGCCTCGGGTGATCTGGTGATTTTCCACAATGCTGAGTTCCTCTGAGCACTAACTGACTAATTTCCATGGCATCTTGCAAGTTGAGTCCATGAGTATTTCCTTACAGCTTCATCGATGAAAATGTGCTGTCACACTTGGAATTTTTGCTCATTTTGTATGTTAAAACAAAAGTCAGTTTTATTGAATTCAAAAGTCTTTTATAACATGTGAGGTTGAATTTGTTTTGATTTTTTAAGGTTTATGTATTAATGAGTTTCACAAACAACAACAACAATAACAAAAAAAAGCAGGTGACCTGTTCTTCAAACCTCTCATTCACACTGAACTGATCAGTAGCCTTTTCAGTCATGAGAGAGAAGAAAAGAAAACTAAAATCTTGTAAACAATGCTACCTTTTCGCTCGGTGTAAATATATTTGTTCCAAATTGTAATATCCTTTTTTATATGGCCTCTTGCTTTCAAATACACACACACACACACACACAAAACAAATAATATTTTTAAATATTTTATTTATTTTTATGTGTATGAGTGCACCCGTGTCATGCAATGCCAGCAGAGGTCAGAAGAGGGTGTCAGATCCTGGAACTGTGGAATTACAGAAAGTTGTTTCCCATCATGTAGATGCTGGGAACCAAACCTAAGTCCTCTGCAACAGCAGGCAGTGCTCTTAACCACTGAGCCATTTCTGAATCTCCGAAGGGTTTTGTTTGTCTCTTTGTTTGTTTGTTTGTTTGTTGTTTGTTTTGAGGCAGGATCCCCCAGAATAGCCAGTGCTCTTAACTGCTGAGCCATCTCTCCAGCCCCACAAATAATAATTTTATTTC